GGGGGGTAAAATAGATTCAGTGTATTTAGTTACAGGCATTTTTTGTAAGCGATTTATCACAGCAGAAATGTTACTTCACACTACATTTTGTATACAATAAACTGTCAAATCAGAAGCTTCACATCAGAACTCCATTCATATGTAAACTAGCATTATTACGCCCCATAGGCCAACAATCAAAACACAACTGGCAAGCGCCAACTAAAACCTCAAACAGCGGAGCTATTTGATTAATGAACATCCCAATCTGCAAAACGGAATGCAACGTCAAACATTTCCGGGAGGTAATGTAAAATATTACGCGTTTACGTTTTCTTGAAATGTCACAAAATATTCTGGTAATAGCATAGTTAACGTTCTTCCAGCACAGACAAAGAAGCACAGACACTACGATCGAGGCAGAAAGTCCTCTCTACGCACAGACCGACTGATTGCATTACACACTGTCCCAGACTACTGTGCACTTGGGACACACGGAGAAGAGTCGTGCCTCATCAAGACCCAAATCAGCCTCGTCCTTTTTGTGTTCTCTTTTCAGAGCATTTTTCTTTTTCATGTCGAAAGCGTGCCTGCGTGCGTGCGTGTGTGCGTGCGTGTGTGTGTGCTTGCCGGCCTGCACGACTACAAACTTCTACTCTGCAGTGGGTCTGAGGGGCGGAACCAGTCTATGGTCTGTGCAAACTGGTTCTTCTCAAACACGGAGCTGATGAGTAACGAAGTTGGGCAGCTGGTTCGTTTGGCTGGTTAACTCATTGAAATCTTTAATCAAACCACAAAAGTATTCACCCCACCTCACGACCCCAACCTCAAACAAGGGATGTACAGTAGACGGCTACTTGACAATGGCATCGTTAAAACACAGGGGTAGGAAAAGGGAAAGGGGGTAGTGGTGGGGTAGAGTCAGTGGAGCAGGCCAAGTTTTAAAAAAAACAAACAACGATAGATACGCGTCATTAACTGTACCATTAGAAAGCAACACGAAGATAGTTGAAAGGAGGTAGGTTTCACCCCCCCCTCCCCCCCCCCAAAAAAAAAGGAAACGAGAGGGTGGGTTTGGAAGCCAGGAAAAAATATTAAATTTCTATTATTGTGGTTTTGCGTTCCGGTGACACGTGAACGCCTCTTTGAGTCATCGGGAAAGTAAGGCCACTGGCAACTGTCAACTTCCAAGTAAAGAGCAAATACAAGAGCTGTGCACTGTGGCAATCGCAACACTGGGATATGTTCCGATAGATAAAAGTTCACTGGGGTCAGAGAGTCAGTTGCTCTAGTGGTCTCAGCGAAAGCAGAGGATCTTTCAAGGCTCACAGTCAACTTCTACTTGTTATGATTTCGATGAAAAGATTACACAAGTAGATTTGTAAAATGCGTGT